GAGTTCGGCAGAGGAGATACAATTTGGTTTCTCCCATATGCGTTTTATTTGTCAGCTTCTCGTGAGTCACGATGTAGGAAGTTTGCAGAAACACACGCTCTGCGCTAGGCTGATACCCCTAATCGTGAGTCATATCGCGTCGCTTTCAGCCCCGTACGAACCGCAAGCAACCCCTCGCTGGCCCCTTCCCCCGTCGACATTTGGCGAATTTCCATCGGAAAATTCGATACATCTGTCCGATTTCCCGGGCTCACCCTCCGGGGCCCAATCCCATTGCCACGCGACACGAATTAAAGATATTTCGGCCACAGCTGTGATATCCTCTAGCCCCACCAATCTTCTAGCCCCCTTTCTCAATTATGTTATGAATCCGACGCGTAAACATGAATAATTTTTATTTTTATGTCGACTAACATCCGCTTGACTCGTCGTTAATATTAAAAGTCTTCATACGTTGGAAATAGCCACGAAACTTTGATATAGATATTTTTTTACTAACAAGATTTTCCAAATTTTAGTACAGGTCCTAGAAAAATAGTTTCACAGTGTCCCCGTAGATTTAGAAAAATATCGCGAAATTTTGAATGAAAACTTAATACAAAGCTCTCCCATAACTTTCGAAAATCTTGGAAAAATAGCTGTATTAATGCGACGATGATAATTAAGTAATTAAAAATTTGAAATGGCTATCGTTGCTTTTGTTTTATTTTTTCTTTTCAGCGTGGCGTTCCTCAATCCCCAATACGTGCCCAGATAAAGTAGCGAAATCGTCGCGTGCAATTTAAATAGCCCGACAGCACATGCGGGTCGCAAGTATCGTGCTAATCCTGATTTTAAATACCGATCGACCCTCCCCAGTGCCATCCGGAGGGTTGTTTGTCGGAGATGCGCGATCGCGGGCACAGCTGATACCCCCATGCGCGCGAAGCGCAGGAGGCGCACGCTCGCATGATGGCCGCGCGCGCGAACAAAAGTCGACGAGGGGAAGAGAATGGATCGGGGGTGCGCGGCACGAACAACCCCATATGGACTGCACAGCTGACCGCGTGCGGCTCATTAATAATGTACGTTAGGAAAATCATTCCAGCGCCCCCATCGTGGCCACGATGCCAGAACGAACTCGCGTATGTACGTTACGAACGCTTCTGTACTCCCCATGCTCGAAGAAGGGGAGGCTTACGCGTCGCGGAGCCGATCGAGAGGTCAAAACGCGACCGGTGTTACATCGATCCGGCCAATTGAACGATTAACGATATTATCGTTAATTAATAATAATCGTTGAAACGGTTTTTGCATGCTCGAGATAGTCATTGAATAAACAATTCGATAAACTGTACAGGTAAATCTAATTACTCCCAATTCGGTAGAAATTAATCGATTTTCGTTGTTACGCGCGAAGCTGTACTTTAAACTTTAGAAAAAATCAAAATCTCGCGCGAAGATATCGCGAATTTTTATAAAAGTTAATTTTATTTTCGTATCTCGAAATTTTTTGTTTCTTTTTCTTTTTTGTCTCTCTCCCTCTCTCTCTCTCTCTCTCTCTCTCTCTCTTTCTCTCGCTGTTTTTGTCGCCGGGAAATTTTATTCGAGCAATTTCAAGGTTCGAGAGAGAGAGAGATAAACAAAAGTACGTGCTGCAGCGCAAAATGTGTTTACACGCGCGTAGATGCATGCGTGCGAGACATGTGACGAGTCACGTCCAGAAATAGTCGCGTCGCGTGGGTGGTGTGCACGCCCGAATAATAAATAGGCGAAAAAAGGGGAACTAGACCGTGAGGCACGGGTCCAAACAAGATGGCGCGTGTGCAACGCGCAAACGCAACGCGGAAAATCCTGCGGTCACGGAATGCGTCGATGGAGACGAGAAAGTCTGCTTCTTTTTCGCGCACGAGCAACACGCGGTCTCGGCTAACCAGATGGCATTAGCTGCTCTGTCTGGTCGATCGGTAGGACTACGAATAATATTTATCGTTATGTCATCCTTGTTTACGCTCGCATGCGACGAATTATCGAGCGTCGATTATCCGAGAAAAAAAGGAGAAAAGGAAAAAGAAATATCTGGTGGATTTTATTCCGTCGACTCAATCGTTAACCGCGATACTATAGCTTTATCTGTCCGTTAATTTGTGAGAATAATTTTATTGTTGTTCGAGCCGGTGTGAACTGAGCCTAACGATCGATTGGATAATACATTGTTTCCGCGGAACGATCGGGGAAAATCGGTGGGAACGATCTGTTGACAGAAAAGCGTATACCCGACCGACCGGGTGCCATTCATTGCTTTTATCAGGTGCTTACGTAATTACGTAAATTGCGACGACCTTGCCGGCCGGCGAATTAGATTGACCTAGGGTAAACTACTTCCCGCATAAATAACGTCGGCCAATTAACTTCGATAATGTGCGTCGATCAAACGGAATAATTCAGGAAATCTCGAGTTCCCGAATAATTACGCAATTTTTCGCGTGGTATATCGATCAGACGGTAAAACGAATCCGAGAATCGTGTTTTCTAACACAAGCGTAACGATCATCTTCGAAATATCTCATTTTCCGATCGCGTTGGATATGCAATTCGTGACGCAAACTGCAAATCGATGCCGTGTTTGACAGAATTGACGAATTGACGAACAAAAAAAAAATTGAAAAAAAATTGAAAAAAAAAAAATTGGAAAATTAAAATTTCGGGCAGCGATACAACGTTTAATTTGTTTCGACTTTTTTATAGTACGTATGCGCGGAATTACGAGTGGTCGATACGGAGACAGGCGGTTGGAATGGAAAACAAACGGTTCATTCACTAGGAAAGAGTTGGCGTAATGATAAGGATGCGTTTGAAAACGGGCGAAAAATTTTTTGCGCAGGAAAACATGGTACCCGGCGCTATACGTCGAATGGTATCGCAAGAAGCGCACGTGCTTGTGTTGCCAGTCTACTCCGCAGCGTACAATAGCAATTATGGGATAGAAAAAGTTATCGCTTACCGGTTATGGACGACTGTTTCCTCGATGCGGGGGTTGATAAAACGGGGGTAGTGGGTTCGACGATGTACATTTTCTTGTCCGAGTCGAAGTCGAACAATTCGTTGGCGGTAATGTCGCCGATCTGCGGCACTCTGGGCTCCTGTGGCGGCGTCCTCTCCGATTTCGGGATAATCTTGGGAGTGACCGGTGAAGAAGGATCCTTACGGAGAAATCTTGTGGTGGGCGAGGAGTCCCGTACTTTTCGAGGCGTACTAGGCGCGTGTTTCCTTAAGTAGGGCATACCTCGTAGGGCATAGGGTTCAGGCACCACGTCCTGCGGCGTAACGAGCTCCCACTCGTACCTCGAATTAGCTCTCGGTATCTCCAAGTGAAAGTCGAATCCCCATCTTTCGGCATCGAGTATGGACTGAGCGCGAAGCTCCCGTTCCGCCAATGCACGAGCAGCGGCGTGATCGACGGGTCCGAATAGGTCCCTTCGAACACGGGCAAGGGCTGCTCTGCTCGGCACCGTTCGTCCTCCACCCAAATTCCTGCTCATTTCCGTCATCATCACCGGATTCAACACTCGAGCGCTCATATTTCGTTAGTCTTTCACACCGGCAACGTCGCCGTCCTCCGTCGCAGTTACCAATATCCAAGCGTTTTCACGAACAAACAGCTTCCGTTTCTCTTCACGCAGTCACTACTTTTTCTCTCTCTCTCTCTCTTACTCCCACCCTCCGTCTCTGTCCGTCCTCCTCCTTTCCAGCGTCTGTTTTCGGACCACGATTCGGCACACGGTCTACACACTCGATCGATTTCGACACGCGCACAGCACAATGTCGGAAACCGACCTTTTTCGCATTGATTTCGACGCGTTACACGCGTCCCGTTTACGGAGATGATTCTTCTTCCAGGAATCGTTCACAGAACGTTGAAATACTCGCGGCTCACGAAGACGTGGCAACGTTGTCGTGGCGCGACCCACCGAATTTCGAATAATGGCCGTGCTCAGCGTCGCCTCGCGACTACGCTGATCGTTGACTCGCCCGCGGATGCACCCGACACTTTTTGATGCGGATTTTTCTGAAACGCACATCCGCGAATCGGAGGTTATATTTTAGAACAGAGCGTATCACCAAGGGCCGAAGCGTGTGTGATAAACTAGAAAGTTTGGCAACACGGTAAACACACTATTGCGTACCACGATGAGGGCGAGAGGCAAGGCAGGGAAACAGCAACAACTATCTCATATTTTCTTAGAGATCGGTGCACATATTCACAGTCAAAGCGATTGAAATCGGTAACAACGATCGAGTATGAACTTGATCTCAAGTTTTTTTCGCTCTCCTCCACGTAAATTCGTCGGTATAGCCCGCGGGAAGAACAAGCCGGCAACGTCGCACGCACTTGCGCGTGAGCCTCCAAGAGACGACGAGCGTGTTTCGACGTGTTCCCGCGAAGGTTACCACGTTATTCTTGAAATTAAAAACTGAACGTATATCGATCCTTCGAGTTTGTAATTATCCTGTCTATGTAATACGAAGCACATAAACATATCACTGAAGGTTCTCGTTCGACACAAGAATATTTTGCGGAAAACGTTATTGCACACGGCCCGAAAGCACCAATATGCTGTCCGCTGACACGGTGGGGAGCCACTGAATCGACTCTGATACCACGTAAATTCCAAAGGAGAACAGTATCACGCTTCCCGCCAAATACACGGCTGTCAAGACACGCGCGTGGTTCCAAGTTCGGCGGAAGGTCGTATACGATTGCGCAGTTATGTTGACGCTGACGAGGTGCGTGCGTGCTCTGTAACGCACGGAGTTGCGCGAAGACGCGTTCTACACGTGTAAAGCGCTCTCTAGCGACTGAAGTGTGCGCCTCTCATTGCAAGTAACCAAGCCTCTGAACGCGTCGGCTGTTTTCGGCCATCTTCGGCTCATTCGGTGTCACCCCTTTTCCCTCTCCACGCGCCCGGGAAGAAACGAAATAACCGCCATTTGCAGAGTATAGTTCCTTCGACCTGAGCGCAGCATTTCGAGCCTTTGAAAACACGTATGTACGAGAAGGTTGTACAGTTATTGGCCCCTTCCACGGCAACACAAACGAGCAGAATGCTGATTGTAACCATCGGATGCGTTCCAGTATGCCAAGCTCTATGGTAAATACCATCCAACTTTACTTTTCTGCGTAGAGGGGGATTATAACGAAAAGTTTGGGAAAAAGCTATAGGTCGCAGTTGTACTCTTTACCACTCCCATTTTTACCGAAATGCGCGGCCGTGTTCCACGCAGGATCAAATCTACTTCTGACTGAAAATAACAAACGATAGTTAGAGAAAAATAAGAGACTGTAAAAAAGCACTTGGAATTCATGAGATGTATATTCTTGCAAAATATAAATCTTATACTCACTGGCGGGTTTCGAGTTCGGAATAAATACGTTTTTCAACGTGTGTGTAATAAATTTACAACGTACACGGTTTCAGGCAACGTACAATTGATTAGGAGGAAAAAATGAAACGCATTGTATGTTGACAAAGAAGCTCAAAATAAACAAGTCCAGCTTTCAAAACAACGGCTGTAATCTTATCACGGACACTCGTGCGTACGTTTATTCGGCGGATTTCCATGTTTGCATGGCAATACGTTACGCACGGTGAATTTATTTGCATACTGTTCAGATTATCATCGTCATTTTATTTCAACTGATACAAGCTACTGTTCCTAGACACCATGGTGTGAACCAGAACACTGGATTTTGCAAAATTTTTAAATATCACCTTATCTGATATTGATCTTACCGGTAATGGAAAAAACGAGCTCGCGTGGTCACGTTTATTAAATCTAATTCCATGCGTTCGAATTTGTCGATTCGGTCGACATTTTTTCTCCTAATTATTTACATTTTAGTAAGAATAACAGGTTGAAGTACACCGATAATCAGTGCAAATATTAGTAGTTTCATACATAAATTATCATAGGTTTTGATTCATTAGCATTATGTAAATGTAAAAAGCGAATTCGTATTTACTTTTCGAACTTTACGTATGTGACAATTGGTGGTTCTCAAGCAGCAGATGTTTATTGCGTAGCAGCTAAGGCAAGATACGAAATAAACGAGGTGAATCGACACTTTTCAATGATAATTGTCAATTTACCTCATTGCTGTTCTCGTGGCCTGAATCGTTCGTGTCTCGTGTAGAAGGCAATGGGGAAATAGTTTTCTGTCGCGTACGAAGCAACTCGCGCGGAGTGAACCGTACACGGGCGATCGTCACGACCAATCAGGGAGCCCGTTCGCCAAGCGGCGTTGAATAGTATTAGTGTATATCCGTCTGGTAAAATATGGCTGACCGAACGGCGCCACCGTACGCTCGCGGGAAAGTTTCAAACGTTCGAATCTCTCAAACTACAAAGGATGACTTTATACGCATAATTTTCACGTTAAATCGATCAGATTTTCACCGTTTATCTTTAAAATCACCTTAATAATTACTAGAACGTACATTTCTCCACGAAACTCTACTATTCTCGCTCTATTATCCTTTATTCTCGAAATACGTCCCCTATTCAACGAATAATTTTTCTTTTTGTCAAAAAGTAAAAACGAAACGTGTAAAAAATATTACGGGAGGTGTACCGGCTAGCAGAGGAGATTCTCATGAGAGGACTGCGAGGCGTGTTGTTAAAAATGAAAATCCCACGCAACATCCAGGAAGTGGTGAGGGTGGCACCGGATGCATCTCAATGAGGGGAGAACGAGCGAATGAGTCGCGTAAAACAATCCTTTTTTCGTTTCGCAAAGACTACCGTCTCTCTTTCATCTGTGGTTAGGTGGGGTACCCGTTTAGCAAGGTATTCCGTTGCACAGGTGTTCTCTCATGGCTCGGCGTAGACGAAGGACGGAAAATAAATACCGTTTCCTCCTATAACGTCTTTTGCGTCTATCTCCCGAACGATGAGTCGTTCTAGATTATTTCTCAAGGAAGCGTCTGTTTGTACATCCTGAATAGGCGACCGGAAGACGCGTGGCTGCGGCTGCATCGTCTGTTTACTACCGAAGGAGTCACCTGTGCCATCGGTGCAAGAATTTCGCTATCAAATCCGAGTTTACCCTTGGTGTATACGTTATCTCGTCGCGTGCACGACGCCATAGGATGAAAATGTAACCGTGATAAATCATCTTTATCGAGATCAAGGTGCTCCATCGAGATCGAGGTTGAGAACTCGTGGATATGATTTCTAGGATGCGACAAATAGCCTTTCTTCTCTGCTTCGTTTCCACGTGGTCGTTCGCTTCGCGGGATCGGGAGTCCTTTGTCGAACACCGTTCATTGATCCTTCATTAGCGATGGCCGTTAAAAATCCTTCGGTGTGAAAGTATTGAATGGTCGCAGAGAACAATGAAGCTGGTGCACGTTATACGCGAATATCTTTTGTCGTAGTCGCGATTGTACCCACTTCCGTGGGAATTCGCGGAACGGAAGTGCAATTTCTGGCAATGGGTACACCACCATCATCGTGGCCAGCTTCCATAGCGCGTGCAACGCGAAAAAAACGATTCTTAAGAAACGAATGCCAGGTGCACATGCTGCCTTCTCACGAGAACTCGAGATTAATTTTAAGAAATCGTGATACTCGTGGAATCATGCGGGACTTGGCCGGCGTTGCTAACTGTTGCAATTTTACAACGTCATTCCGCGTTAAGTGAAAAGTTTACATCTCCTCGGGGCACGTACACATGTGTCATCTTATTCTCGTGCCCTGAATTCGGGTCATACGTTAGTCGTGCACCATATGCCCGAGTGTACCTAATCCGTCTATACGAATCTCGCGTTACACATCGCTTTGTTTCATGGAAACGCAGGAGAGGGAAAACGTTTTGTGAAAATCATACGCAAGATTATAAAGTTATAGATAAATATATTATCTCGCCTATCTATAAAAAGTACAAAGTCGCTTTGTATAATTTATTCGCATCGTAATATCATTCGTTCGCTAATCACGTGTATTGCACGTTGAGTAATAAATATTAAATAATCGTGTAAAATGGTATAAAATCAGGATAAATAATACGATAACAAATATCACGACACATGACATTCTCCTTCGAATTGTCATTACGAGTCAAAATTTTTCAGTAATTCAAATAAAAATAAAAAGAGATACGTAACTTTGGTTTACTAGCTCTCCAGACACCGAGTCGTGTCTATTCTGACTAGAAGTCGAATCAATGCCTTCCTCGATCGACAACTTTGCAATGTCTGCTCGATCCACGCCGACTCCGATTCAGTCAATTTTGTAGTTTCGCGTTTCCGTTTGGCAAAAGAAAGGAATCGTTTTTTAAAGAGGAAAAAATTGTCAGAGTGAGCAATCTGTTTCGCAGTCACGTCCTACGTACTGTCCGTCATTTTCTCGTCGTCTTTGTCCTCCGCATGATCCTGCATGGTAACGTCATCGTCCTGCATGTCCTCTTCCTGCATCGTTTGCAAATTCTCTATTCGATTGCTCGCCTCCAACGGTTTACAAATTTCATTTCCGTGTTGGTCGAGCTTCACCCATGCGTAACGTCCAGGCAGAGGTTCTTCCTTCTCGAAATCGAAATTCCACCTCTCCTTGGCCTGCTCGCCGAACAAAAAAATGCAATCGAAATAACTCTCGAGCGATTGTTCATGGTCAAGGTAAATCATGTCTCGTTTACTACGCACATTCTCCCGATTTTTTCGAGCCTCCTCGAAAAAGCAGTTCGCGAAGTTGTCCTCGACGCCAGAATTTCGTCCCGATTCCGTCTCGTTATCGTCATCGTCGTCCTGAAAGAGTCTCCTCCGCACGCTACGCAGTCTTCTTCCCTCTTGTATATCGATGTTCGGGTACTGCATCGTGAGTCGAGCCCTTTACAGATTCAGATCAAGTTCAGGTTAGAAAATGGCGAAAAGAGGGGCAAGAAAATGGAAGAAAATGGGGTGAGGAGGACGGGAACGCAGAGGAAACGCGATGTTCGAGTGGGGGCTAGGTGATGAAAATGTTTGACGAATACGATGGAAATATCGGAAATATTATAGACAAAAACATAGACTGGAATGTGACATGCTATGCATAAACAGGAAAATGGATTCCAAGAGCGTATGGCAGCTTCGGTTGCTAATGCCACGCACGATTTAGCATAGATAATAGTTCTTTATGGTTTGTAAACAATGTGATATGCATCGAGTGACTTGCCGCGTTGCAGAGTATGCAAGCTTGCACACGTGTGTTGGCAAACGAGAAAGAAAGAACAGAAGAGAAACCTATAGCACTCTCGGTCAATGTGCCGTTGAACGGATGTATTGGAATGCATATCACTTCCTGCACGAACGTACCACTGCATACCGGATAATAGTTGTTATTCAACGTATAAACGAGATAAACTTTCACGCGTAATGTCGAATCCTCTGTCATAGTTTCTCAAACTGACGCTATAAAATCGTCCAGGCTAAAAGCGACCGGTCCGCGAGTCCTTTTGCAACAACAGCCGTTCCCATCCTGTCTAATCTACGACAGTTTCGTCGCGTGAAAGCAGGCATCGCTGCGTTGTTATTTTATTTCTCCGCTCGGCTATAAACTGGTTTCCTATCAGAACTTTCGCTAATATCTAATAAACCTTGGTGCTCAACCGACGAGCAATAATTACGGGACGGATAGTGATTAACTCCGTGTCTCGGTAAATCTAGAACAGAAATGGAGCACTGGTCGAGGATGTGACAGGAGTAATTGAAAAACGGTAACAAACATAAGTACGCTTGACGGTTAATTCTTTCAAGGGTAATTTATAATGTACATTAACCCTTTGCACTCGACGACTTTTCCGTTACAGAAAAATAGCAATTCGAAGACTCTTTGTCATAGAGTGGACGAAATTTTTCAAATGGTAAATGAGAAATCATATGCAAATTAAGACGTAGAATTATTTTTCTTCGATATTCCACACATCGTTAGGTAATTTTATATTTGATATATTAATTAACGTCGATCTTTAGAATTTGATTAAACGGTGACTGAGAGTCACCTCTCGAGTGCAAAGGGTTAATAAATTCGAGATAACCTCGAATCTTTTTCGAAATTTACAATTCATTTTCATCCATTTTTTTTTCGAATTCTAGACTTGGTAATCCGGTGAAGGAATAAACGATTTGAACGAATGTTTCGAAATCGCGACGTGTTCGTTATATCGATAATTTTCGCGATTTTCTGCAAACCTGTGCGCAGAAAGCAGCATGGTTTCCTCTATATCGATTAACAGCCAGTAAAATTTACCGAATTTAATCGAGGCGTACAATCGATCGGTGACATCGAATCACAGAGAATCCACGCAGATAATCGTGCACCTGCCCGAGCTTTATCATCCGCTGTGTACAACCTCGATATTCCCCGTTATCGTGTGAATTTTATCCAGAGCACGGTATTCGGTAAACAGCGAGAGCTACGGGTGACGTTGGGCGAGTTGGGAAAATTTCGCGCGCGAAATTAGCAACGAGAGAGGCAAGTGCAACGTTGCGGAATTTTGCAGGAATAGCCGGTGTCAGCGAGGGGTCAAAGTTCGCGGCGAAATATGCGAATCCGTGCAGTCCTCGGAGAGTGCCGTGCACCGATAAAAGTTCCATTATTCTCCGCGAGGTTTGCGTTTACTCACTGTGGAGGAGAAGGGTCGCGAACTAATCACGAATTAGTCGTATCACAGATCGTAAGCACGTCGACGCGTAGCACAGCCTTCAGTTCAGCCTTGTCTCATTTTTCTCCACGAATCGCCGCGTGTTTTGACCGAAAACTCCCTGCCGGTCTACTGTCAGCTAGCGAAAAGTTCTTAGGTTAGCTTGAATAGCAACGCGATCGATAATCCCATCGTTTTCGTCGGGGGTGTGGACTGGTACTAAGGCACGAGGGGGTATTACGCTGCGCGCGCACGTTGCAGCCAGAGATACTCGGTGAGTGCGCATTCGCACGGATATCGATATTTGACACTTCCAATATGCATCTACGCGCCACCGCGTCCATGTGTCGCTTTTACCCAATCGTTGTGTCGTAAGCTCATCATTCAAAGACTTTTGCCTATTTCTCTGGAAAAATTCCTTTTCCCTGCAAATTCGTAGGCTCCGCCTATGGCTAGATTCGATGATACGACGTTTAATCCATTAACCGGGGATGATGCGAATTTAAACTCGACGAATTATTTTCTTATTGTCATCATCGTGACATTTCTCAGATTTTATTTACTCGTGCTTATTTGTATCGTAACAGAACTAAAATATTGAATCGTTATTTAATTATTTAATTCGTAGGAAAATAAGGAAGGAATTCTAAATACGTGTCACCTATCGATTATTTTATAACGAAATTTCGTGCAATCATGGAAATCGTAGTAATCTTTCAGATCTTATTTTGTGATCAAAATATAATGGAATTTAATTAGTGCTCTTTCGCACTGCTGGAATGCACGTTATTTTTATCAATACGAATTGTTATATATAGTTATTCTAAAAAAGAACACGAATATTTTAACCCTTTGCACTCGAGAGGTGACCTTCAGTCACCATTTCATAAAATTTGGAAGATCGATATTAATTAATATATCAAATTTAATGTAGTGTAACATTGTGCGAAGTATCGAAATCAAATAATTATACAACTCTATTATTATACAATTCTTTATTTACTGCTCAATAGGGTATCTACTAAAAGGTATTTTAGTAGAGAATCTTTGAATTTCTACTCTCCTCTAGCCAAAAAATCGTCGAGTGCAAAGGGTTAAAAAATATATATATATGCTAATAGTAGAAATGAATCAAAAATTCAACAAAATTGATGGAAACCATTTTTGATACGTATCGCTGTTGAAACCTCGCAATTATATTTAATTATTTAATTCGTAAGAAAATAAGGAAGGAATTCTAAATACGTGTCACCTGTCGATTATTTTATAACGAAATTTCGTGCAATCATGGAAATTGTAATAATCTTTCATTTTATTTTGTGATCAAAATATAATGGAATTTAATTAGTGCTCTTTCTCACTGCTGAAATGTACGTTATTTTTATCAATACGAATCGTTATATATAGTTATTTTAAAAAAGAACACGAATATTTTAAAAAATATATATATGCTAATAATAGAAATGAATCAAAAACTCAACGAAATTGACGGAAACCATTTTTGATACGTATCGCTGTTGAAACCTCGCAATTTATCTCGTTAGCAACAAGATAACGAATGGAGAAAAATTGAAATGACGAATTAACTCATCCACTGATTTTCGATAAACAAACTCACCAGTTAATGGATTAATAAAATAGCCAAGAAATTGGTTGCCAAACGTCGTTGAATTCTCGATCATTTCTCATCTTCCTCATTTCGTGTGCCACTGTAGGTAACGAATTTTCGTCACCAAGCGAATTTTCCAGTTAACGTGAATGATTATTGAAGCAACAACATTGTTTTTCGCAGCATTTGCGTGGAACTAACCTCGATCGTTCGCTCGTGGCTACTCGGTTCTCGAAGGTGCTCCGTCTGGCAGCCGAATTCACCGGCATACGTGGTTCCCGACCTCGGAAAACACCAGAGACATTAAACCACACGGAAAGCTCGACGAAAACACAACGGAGAACGGCTGCGGGACAGAGACGCTGCCTCTGGTGCAAGGCTTAAAGTGCGACTGGCGGAAAGTCGGAATAGTTACTTGCATCCCAGGTGCAGCTGACTAGCCTAGATTCTGCTTGCAGACTATTACTTACGAGCAACAGTGCAACAGACGCATGCGCGAATACCCATTAACCGAATGCTTCATTGTGCAATCGTTCATCCAGTGACGCAAACTTATTGTCGTTCCAGTTGACGACATCCGTCCTTGGAAAAAAGACTCCTCTTCCGGGAATCCGTGTCATTCGAAGAAGACACTTGCCCGCTTTTCCCGAGAAATCTCATTACACCGGTGTCGCAGATTATCGACCTCCAACGAAGCTCTCTCGAATAACAGTCTTCCTGCACTCCAAATTCCTCCTTTCCCAGAACATACTTATTTCTTGCAAATCAAATTCGCTCTTTTAAAAATTCGATACATTTTCTTGAAAATTAAATTCACTGTTTCGGGGACGATATTGTAGGATAACAAAAGAAATCGCGAATCGGCTATTGCTAACGAAAACAAATTGTAAACCGATCGATATCTTCTAGAAGCAAATCGAAAAGTTATTCTATATAACAAAATTAAGTTGCGCGACTCCTCTACGGAGAGGTGAAGCGTAGGTTAAGGAAAGCATAAAAGAGTGGTCCTTCACTGAATAACGCACAATTCATTCCTTTTCAGCGCAGTTCGAAAGCTGCTTCTGCGATTTTGTATCAAAAATTCGATTTCTTTGCGATAAAATCTCATCACTGCGTCAGAACTGCGCGAAATTGCACAGAATAGAGTTATTGACAAGCAAAACAGAGTTCTTAGAAATCGGTTGTGACCAGCACAAGCGTGAGTTGCTTGGTGTTGAAAAGAGAGTTTTAAAAGAGTGCGTCTTTGTGTGTTTTTGTTTCGTTAACTTGGTATTCTTTTCCTAAGTTAAAATAGTTTTATGAGTTTCGAGCTTGTGTTATTCTGTTCTTGTTGTTTTGTCAATTTTTGGTGTCTCAAAACCAGTTTTCGCCGTCCTCCAAATTTCTCCGTGAAAAAATGAATTTCTTTCCTTCCACTTGGTATTCTACTTCGCCTTCTCAGTTCTAAATGCTCAGTTCTCTGTCCTCGTTTCTCGATCTATAGTTAAATCAGTTTACGAGTTTTGGGTTTGCGTTATCGTGTTCTCGTTCTTTCGACAATTTTCGCTGCCTCGAGACCGGTATTCGCCGTCCTACGATATTTATTTATCTTGAAATTTTTCCTGGTTGATTTCAATTGGTTCCTTGCAATTGGTTCCCGTCGACCAAGCCTCCACGAGTACCCCGGAAGTGCGTGACTCGTAGGTCAGACGAGGCACACGTTACCATTTCTACTCGAGGAAGTTTCTTCAAAAATGAAATTCCGTGCGAGAAGTATTATCTTTATCGATCCTTTGGACCGTGAATCTTCAGATGTTATCGATCTCGGAGATGGATAGTGGAATCGCCATAGATGAAGCTGTGTTTACCATTAAATAAGCGTGTTATTATACATAGAGACCGCAGTTTATCCCCGGTCGGAGCACACGGATCTCTCCACGATCGGTATAACTGTATCAAGCGCATTTTAATCGACGTTCCTGGGTTATGTAAATCCGTGGATGCTTCTGCTACCGTGTCTTGCTTTTCCGTGGAACACGGGCTAACTGTACCCTCTCTTTCCACGCACGGCAATAGACCACGTGCCGTAAATCGGCGAACAAATAAATACACGGACGCATTCTAGAGGTATCTATCTTTCGTGGAACCGGGGGATGCGACGTGAAAGGGGGCTGACGGTTCGACGAACAGTTTTTCTCGCGATTGTGAGTGGAGCTGCAAGTTGTATCGATGTCACCGAGGCTGCGTATCGAATTGTTATTCCCGAGCGATAAACCGATCGAAAGCGATCGATCAATATTTGCGAGGTGGAATAAAATCGAAGGAACTCGAGGAGAGATACGTCTGCCGTTCGCGTTACCAGGGAGAAAAACTGAAACGTTTCCGTGAGAGTGTAGCCGGTAGAATGGCGGGAAGTAGAACGGTAGGAAATTCTCACATATAGGTACTCGTATTCTCCGGAGAATTCTTCGAAGGCTGTAAAAAAGCAGCAGCTGAGAGCAACCTACTACTAGCTGGGCTAGATCAACGTCTCTCCGTTTCACGTTTTCCTTTACCTTTATACACTTCCTCCGATCAGTCGACCTCTTTCAACGGCCCCGGGAGCACGAGTCGCTTACCGTACCGTTCCACGCCGGTGTTCCGCGTCGTAACTTCCGAGGAAATTGCTGCAACTAGATCGCGCATAATTTCGTCTTCTTTTTACCCCTTTTCACTCCTTTTTCTCTCCTGTTTCACTCTTTTTCCTCCTTTTTTCGCCTCCTTTTCCCCCTTTTCTGCGCTTCTGTCGGTGTCCTTCCCGCGGCACGCCGACTCGTTTCTTCCCTAGCAACCCACGCAGCTGTCGATCACACAGCGACGACGAGCCAGGCCTTTCGAAAGGCTTCGAGCAGCAGCAGCAACAGCAGCGTTTTAAACGGTGCCATCGATATTTCGCGTACCCAACGACAGCTGATATTTCCAAATTTTTCGCCCGGACCCCTCTCGAATTTCTCCACGAGCCCCATCCACGGGGAACGGAAATCGTAGCGGTAAAACAGATAACCTTCCTCGTCTCTGTACTTCCCCGACAACTCGTTACTTCGATTTCCTGCGGTATTTAATGCCTCCGCAACGCCATCGCGTTGGCGTGTATACCTGACGGCGAATAAGTTGCAAGATTAACGAGCCGCCATGCTCGGGACCACGAAATCCCTTTGAACTTGCGCGCAGTCACGCGAGACGAGGTGAAAATTAAGATGGTTGCTAATCCGCGATTCATTTCGCTCGAATTGGGCGCTAGGTGCTCTTTCGAAAGGAATATTTAAGAAATATTTAGGAAATTTCAAAGAAATATTAAAGAAATATCGTTGTTCCATTTCATGCGTCCCACGGATCGGTCGCGGCGCCTGCTCTCGGTGTACGGCGAGCACGGAGCGGACACGACGGCCGGGCCCCATAGATCATCGGATCCGGAGTAGAAAAATCGCGGACCGTGGAGCAGGAGGAAGTTGTCCATTGGAAAGCGTCCAGGTTAAAGTTTGCAGCGTTCGCGGTGCGCTTAAACGTTTCGCGCGTGTGACCAGCATGAACATGTCCAGTTGATGAGCGTGTCTGATTAATATTAACGCTAGAGAAGCGGACCGTTACAGACCAAAAAAGAAGTACAACTGTAAACGCATTTTTTACGGAGCTTCGAAACTCCCGTTCGAATTAATTCCAAGCAGCGTAGCGTATTTTCAAGTAAACGATGCCTTTTCCACGCGCGACACTCGCCTGCGTAATTTCGACGAGGATCCGCTGCTCCCCTACCTCGGGCCCCCGGTTTCGTAACCGGAATTTCGTCAAAGCTGACGTGGTCGATCGATATGGAAACGATCGCGTTACGTTGCTCGCGGCCTTCACTCGCTTCGTCATCCGCGCCGTGAAAATTGCGCGGCTTTCCCGGTACGGCAGTTCCGCTCCTATCGATCGTCCATGGATCGCGTCCGGACGCCTGGATCGCCGTCTCGCCACCTCGATCACGCGTGTAAATCGATAACGATAGTCGTGGCAGGTATTGGTCATCGAGTCGGGAGGACACGTCTTGCTTTCTTTTCCGTTCCTCCGAACGCAATTGACGCGGCACCGCGCACGACTCCTGGGGGCCTTTCTCATCCTCGAAATCACTTGATCAAACACCGTGCCGGAAACTCTCCGACTTTGATACCCTTATCGAAAATTGCACGAGCACGGTAAATTTGTTTTTCATCATTCGCGAGCACGAGATAGGTTCGACGATAAAAACAATTATACCATCGGGAACCTGTAATTTCTGCGCAAACACGCGCGAGACTCGTTCTGGCTGACGCGCCGGTCGCCTCTCGATCGCTCGCCGATCGTACACGGTTCTTGCGTCCTTCCGGCAAACGGGGCGTTTTAATGCGCCATCGTGGAAATGGCACACGTCGATCGGCAAATCGCGTACGACCGATTCCGAGGGCTCCCATCAATGGAATGCATATTCATTCATTCCCCCGCGATACCGTCCGTGCACGTGTTGCAGCTCGCCATGGATTTCGACATATGCTAAAATCTTTTGCGCCAACTGTCGCTTCCTGCATGTATCCACGGACCTTGAAATGTATTCCCGCCAAAAGAAATCACCTCGGTCACGCTCCGTTCCACGATGAAACGTGCAAAAAGAAAGCCACGGCTGCATATAGAAAGGAAGCCGGACCTGTCTTCCCGATTTCGGCCCATTTCTACGATGCCCCCGACTCGTACCCGAACTTCCTGCGAATAATACCCTAACCTTGGGTCTCTCTAGGCAACCTTACGATCGATCCAAACTTGTTTCCGCGTTTTCTTTCCATTTTCTCGATAGTAAATTCTCGAATTACCCATTTTTATATCTATCTAAATCCGTTGAATCGATTTTCAGAAAAATTTGACAAATCCGAGAAGCTCGATGCGAGTCGTTTCGATTAGGATTTCATGGAAGCGTGCAATATGGTCGAATTAAATTTCAAAGTTGGGTAAGTACCATCTCGTACAACTTTGATGTCCTGTTTTCGACGTCCTGAACGTGGAGAGGGGAGAGGGAAGGGAAATAAATAGAACGAACCCTATCCATTAGGGGGGCCAGACTGCGACTTGGCGACACCCTTGAAATTATTCCGTTCTCCGGACGTGTGTGCCCTGTCCTCTTTAAACGTCGGATCGTTACAGAGGGCCCCGTCGGATTCGGAACGCCCTCGGGAATGCTTCCTGTCGGACGTTTTCATCCAGGGACGGACGTGTTTCCAGGGGCGGAAAGTTACGGTAGGAACGACGACTCACGTGCGACCAATCTGTCTCTGCGTGTTCGAGGAGCGACATTTATAGAAACGGGGGAGACGTCCGACAGGATGGGATAGAAGGAATATTCACGAAAGGGGGGAAAAAAAGTGAATTAACGCGAATCGGCTGAACGCGTTGCAACAGTCGAGACGAATTCATTTGCGGACGAGGTGCATTTTTAGTTTGCTTAACGGTAGGCTCATGTCCAAAGATGGCGGTGCAGATATGTAATACAGGTATAATTACCTCGTATGACGCCGGTATTTATAAAACACTGTTTCGGTGTAACGAGAGCCATAAATTGTTGCCAATTCTTACATAACGCGAGTACCTGTCCAGGGATACTTATATGGGAGTAAGTCGTCAATTTTTAACGCTATTAATTTTTCACTTCGCCAACGGCAAATTTACATTAATAAATATGTATTAAGAAGTACTATTAATATAGAAATTATACATGTATACACGTGTAATTTCGGTATTAATTGCACTTTATTATGCATATTTATTAATACGTATCAGAAAGATATAGAAATTATATATGTGTACACGTATAATTTCTATATTGATAGTACTTTACTATACATATTTATTAATATATATTAGAAGAATATAGAAATTATATATATGTATACATATAATTTCTATATTGATAGTACTTTATGATACATATTTATTAATATATATCAGAAGAATATAGAAATTATATATATGTATACATATAATTTCTATATTGACAGTACTTTATGATACATATTTATTAATATATATCAGAAGAATATTGAAATTCTATATGTGTATGATTTCCATATTGATAGTACTTTACTGTAAATATTTATTTATATATATCAGAAGAATATTGAAATTATATATGTATATAATTTCTATATTGATAATACCTTATGATACATATTTATTAATATAAATCAGAAAAATATGGAAATTATATATGTGTACACGTATAATTTCCATATTGATAGTACTTTATGATACATATTTATTAATATATATCAGAAGGATATAGAAATTATATATATATACACGTATAGTTTGTATATTAACCTAACCCTTTGCACTCGAGAGACGCCCTTCAGTCGTCATTTAATAAAATTTCGAAGCTCGATATTAATTAATATATCAAACTTAAAATAATGTAACAGTGTACGAGATACCGAAATTAAATAATACTACGTTTTATTAAATAATTTCTTATTTACTGCTCAAAAAATATCATCAACCTTATAGCAGAAAATTTTTCAATTCGTACCCTTCTTTAACCAAAAAATCGTCGAGTGCAAAGGGTTAATAGTACTTTAAAATACACACTTATTAATATAAATGAGAAGAATACATGCACGTATACATATATAATTTCTATATTCTTCTGACATATATTATTTATAATATATCTTTTATCAAATAAATAGATAAATATCGTCTTTGAAAAGCCATTTTAAACGTAATCATTCTTCGCGTCGTTCTTTTGGAATCTACCATCTACGTTATACGAGATCTACCTGTAATTCGACTTTCCAGGAAAGATTATCGAATAAATGGGTAGCAATGAAAATGATCGACAGAGCAAAACGATCTCTCGCCATAATATTCGTCCTACGAACGTCACGTCGAGCGTTCTCGTCATCGCTTAAAAATAATAAAACACCCAGACGTGCGTTTTCGGAATTAAACAAGCCTAAAATCAACCGAAGATCGGTCACCGGCTATATTTAGAAGTCGCGGATTTTTTACCGATTTTGCAATTCCGTGTTTTCGCGGAACTCTCACGCGCCTGTCCACTTCCTCCGTTTGTTTGTCAATTGCAGAGGCGTGCGAACACCGCCTTGGATTTAATCGTCGAAAGTGCCGCGTGGTCCGAGCTAGCCTAATCGCATTTGCACCTGTTACGTCGATTCGGTAGCACGCTCGTAATCGCTTGGAAATACGCACGGTGAACATTATCAGGCCCCGTTGAACGGGCACAACACCGCGCGATTTACCGTGTTATTTTTGCAAATGAACAGATTATCGGCTAGCCGTAACTCGCGCAATTACTTACGCTCGTTAGCGGAAGAGTTTTCATAGCGGCTTGGAAACGCATGGGAAAGTCGCGCAGCGTGTTCCGTAAACAAGAATTATTAAAAGTTCGTTAACCGCGCGCGCACCTCGCATTCCAACAACGAGCCGCCATTACGGAATCGCGTGTACCACTCCACGTGGCAGGGCCCACCCCTGCAGGCGCGACCTCGACGATCTTTATCGACTCGTTATCCGCTCGTTAACCGATTCGAAATTCCACTGGAAACGATCGGTTCGCGACGCGTGGCTGCATCCATCGCCATATTGGAATACCGCGCGATAGTTATGGTAATTACCACCGCGGCGCGCGGATCGCTGCTCGGAAATCGGCACAGTTCCGGCTCTCCTCTTCATCCGGCAGAACGGCATCCTCTTCTGATCGCGAATTTCAACGAATTTCAACGAATTTCAGCGAATTTCAAGGTCTAGCTAAAATTAGGTTAAACCACCCACTCCCGGCCGCGAATCCCGACACCTCTTCGGCTTTTTCGTCGATTCCGTGGACGAAAATAGATTCACGTAGGTCGCGGACGCAGCTGCGGATTTCTATCTAACATTTATTTCGTGTTCACGCACCGTTCGCCCATTTGCGGCAGGTCAGTGACGTTACCCGGCCCACGTATCGCCTAACAAATGACACTCTTCCTCGACTTTCCATTGCAGAAATACAAGCATTCGAACGGCGTCGCGTCGCGTGGACTCTATGAATTTTACGACCACCCTCCGCCGCGAGACTGCCTCTCTCGCCGCTCTTTGCCACTACGCCCACAGATTTTCCAACGTTTCTTTCGTTCCGCCGATAAACCGAATCAACCATTCCGTCCCGTCACCCTCCGCCACCCAAGTCTGTGTGTCATTCGGTCGCTCGCGCAACGGAATTCGCGTCCCCCGTCCGCGCCGTCGGATTTCCTCCCGACTCGAGATCATGGCGCCGGATCAACGATAAGACGGCGAAAAGATCGCGTACACCGAGATCCTGACCTACCGGATCTCTCCACAACCACGACCACGATCACGATCACGACCACGTTCGCGATCCACTCGGAGTCTACTAAGATTTTCGATTTTTCCCTAGAGAACCGACGTCCTCGAAATTTGCAGGACAGGAGGAATGGAGGATTCGTGGAATCCGACACCTGAGCGTGACAGAGACGTTCCCATTGTTCTATCGGCAATGACGACGACCGTTGGATACTGTTTTCGCTAGAGCAGAGGGAAAGGTGTCTCCTGTGGGTGCATTCAACCTGTCCGGAATTTAAAACCCTCGCACAATAACCTCTCCTCTCGTACGCGGAGAAATCCAAGACTCGCCTGGTGAACTCGAGGAGCACAGGAAAGGCCAAACCAACGATGTAACGCTACACTGTTAAATCCCGTATGAAACGTTAGTCACGAGTGCTCCGATGGTGAGTTACCGGATGCAGGAACGACCGCAGCGCGACAGGATCTATGGTGTCTGCGGAGATGCGCGTTATCTCGGAGGAAAGCCTGTTCGAGCTGGACTTATTAGAATGAATGGTGTACGCGTGTACGTGTATCGCGATTCTGTATATAGATTCGTTAGAAACTGGCCTACTTCTGCCCGGTCATTCATGGCTCTCGCGTAGCAACGGCGCGCGCGCTCGCCGATTAAGAGGACTCGGGTAAAATGGAAAGTGAAGGCGGGGTAAACGCCCTAAAAAGCGAACCGTGCCCCAGTTTTCAACTCGGGCATGGGAGTTAGCAAAGCGTTACGGGGATTCGCGATATCGCGTTACCGTTATTATCGTCTCACCTGTGTCTCGCGGCCAGCATGTCGACGGGAGTTTCGAGTTCCGCGGCGGATTCGCGGGGCGGACCGTTCCCGCGAGGTTTCGCGCAGCGACTAAAGCTTTCGCCGGTTTGCGAGGTACAGCACGCTTGCAGCGCTTCCACGTTTTAAAACCCCTCGTGCTGCATCGAACTGCATTCCATACGCTTAATCCATCTACGTACGTCTATTTATAAGCGAAAGAGCGTGTGGCCCTCTGCTCTCCGGTACACGCGTGCACCGTCGTCGCCATGTGTAGACACACGGGTCGTACGTGGCTCACGAGCTCGTACACACGCCGGCTGGCCGAGTGTGTGCGTGTTTAACCTCGAGAAAGGAAGTCTATTTCCGGAAAAAAGGCAGTACCTCGAAATGCGAAGGAGCACCCGGCCTGCACTGGTGCCATCAGGGACGTAGGAAGTCCGTCGGTTTGCACAGCCGAGACTTTGGTTAAAAATAATCCGCCTGCAGACGCGCACCGAGCGCGTACACGCGTCGGCCAGCCTCTCTCAGAGCAGAGAGGAACACTTCGGATACCGTTCGATGGGAGCGAGCATGCAACGACTTTGCGTCTTTTAATTCCTCGCAGGATGTGAAACGCGTATCTCGCGTTGAGAGCTCGCGAGGTACATTAGGGGGGCTGGCGGAAGGACGTCTGGCCGTTTCGCGATAAATTTAAAACGCCTGGATCTCGCAGCCATCGCGTCGTTCCGCTACCGCTTATCTCGCAGTGGATGCACTTTCGGCACAGCGATCGAGAAGTCGCCGAAACCTGGCCGGCTTTCGCGGGATAATGGGTCTGACCCAGGGTCCAACTGCTAGGATATGGAATGTTAAGTGTCAGTCGTTACCCTGTCCCCTCGTCGCGGACGCGGATTCGTTCTGCGAGACGCTTTCTAGGCATCCGTAATAAGCCGAACCCTCGAATTCCATGGGTACCGTACGATGTGCGCGTACGGTATCCTTTAAGCACGGTTCTCGAGCAAAGGCGAATCAGCGAGCAGCGCGATTACTCGAATTGCTCGGAGGTGCAGTGATTTTCATGAGCCTCTAGTCAGGGATACACGACCGGAGGCTCCCGCGCGCGGAGGGAAGAAGGCCTGCAGGCGCTTAACGATTTCCAAGGCAGTTCCGAAGGCGGTGGTACGGAACGACCGAAACACAAACGGACACTCGCTTTTTCGCTCTTTATATTCAGACTGGAAGTGATTTCACGCTTCGAAGGACCTCTCTTCGGCCTCCAGACAGGATCTAGGCGAGGCATCCTGTGCCAGCGATCCCCGCTTCGGGAACCTCGCCTCCTAGCGAGGCGTTAACCACTCTCGGGTCTATTTCTTTCTATTCTTGCCCCGTTTATCGCTTCGTCGTGAAGCCGATGGATTCGTTTCTAAGTGTTGCGAGGACCACGACGATCTTGGTATCGATAAGTCATGAGAAAATCAACGTTTCTATGATCACAATATCGTCGAGGCATCAAAGATTAGCGCTTCTATGATCGCGGTATCGATAAGCCATTGGAATATCGGCGTTTGGATGATCGCGGAATCGTTTAGCCATAGAAAGATCGGCGTTTCAATGATTCCATGATCGTTGTTCCGATCGAATTCGCCGTTAGGGATCCTTTCTTCCCAGGAAGACTACCGTGAGAGATAGGACGAAGGACGACGCTC